GCTGCATGAGAGCATCTTGTACAGAGGCATCGCAGATCCCCGACTTAGGAACGACAAAGCCAACTGACCACTCTTGGAACTCGCTGGCCTGGGCAGCACATCCACATACCTGCACTGCCCTGCCACTTGGCAGAATCGGGGCTGGTACCTTGGGACCTGGGCATGCATACAGCTGTTTGCCCAGCCCCTCTTTGGTACAACATGTCTGGGTGCAGATTGGCTACAAGGAACTCCGTCACTCGCAGGCCCAGCTCTGAATTGCTAGAGTAAACACGGTTTTATTTTTTCATTTACTGGAGTACTTGATCAATGTAATCAAAAGTAACATTTTCAGACTATTCACTTCACATGAATGAGGCTGAAATTCACTTCTGGAAATGGCACCAGACATGGTGTATATGCATGGTTGCATTATGGCAGAACTATCATACATAATTTTATCAGTTCCAGTACTTACCTGTGTGTGCATGCTATTTGTGAAAAATCTATTGTATTTGGGCTTCTTAAGAGTAAGAGCAAATGAGGAAAGAACTAGGAGGCAAAGGGCATTTACAGAGGTCTAAATACAGGCATGCACATATGTAAATATATTTATATATGACAATGGGGAAATAGCTCTATGTGCATATATTTATAGGTGTACTATTAAGGTAGCAGATGGAGATTTGGCCTCTACTGAAGTACTCCCTCAATGCAAGAACACTTTGTTCTATTAAACTGGCATTCCATGATGCTCACCTTCCCGACACAACTGCTGAAGACAAAGTGGGTGCATAAGCAAATGTGGTGAAGAAAACTGATGGTGCCTGGCTATCAAAAGATATAGCATGTGTGTGTGGGAAAGGCAAGCCCCCCACAACTAATCACGGTTCGATTGGTGCGATTATATGGTTGAGACCTAGAAAGATTATAATAAAGTCATCGAGATCATGAGAGATAAAAGAGAGATTGAAATAATGGAGTCAGACACATTTCATGGTAGCAAGCTCACCTCAGCCCCGCTTGGTGGTCCAGGTGGAGATGGGAGACCTGAGGGCAGGTGAGAGGGTGAGGGGAAGGAGGACAAGGGGAAAGAGAACAGGGACAAGAGGACCTGAGAGGAGAGGGAGCTGAGAAGAGGCCAAGGGGGATCTTTATTGCTAACCAAGGCTTATATATCTTTGGTGGGCATGCAAACCCACTAATTACAGGTGAAGACATACGTCACAGGAAGGGGTTGCACTATAGGTTATACAGCAATGAGGGGGATTGGGGGTATACATGTGACAAGATGGGCGGATCCTAGATTCAGGATGGCAACCTAACTTTGGATGTCACTGAGCAGGTTTGACCTGTTCTCTGGATGTCCATAGAAACCATTATCAGTAAGGTGTAAACTCCACCAGACTACTAATGGTCACAAACCTTTAGGGAGAAGTAGCCCATTGTCTTTAACAGCAGGGAGTGGGCCCCTCTTGTGGTGGGACAGACAGTAGTCTGGCAGCTGACTGACTGCCTTCAGGGAGGTAACTTGACAATCATTTACCATTAGCTGCAAGCAGTGTCCCAAGTCTAACATATATTTGGAGGAGACAATTTGGGAGATACCTTTCTGTTTCCCACACATGTGGGATCTTAAAGCTTGAAGATAAACAGGGTGCCATCAAGCTGAGAAGCAACAAAGCCGACATGGAAGAAACACACCAGGCTGTGTGATCATGAGGTCTCGATGGGATCAGGTATCAGGCATCAAAGAACAAAAAATCATATCATTGTGAATGTCTCTGGGCAACTGGACATTCCTAACAGAAGGGTCTTGAGGAGTAGACCAGCCAATCAGGGTGCAGTATAGCGGCCGATGAGACATACAACTGTCCTCTAGTTCTTTAATGCTTCCTCCTCCTCACTATCATGATCCCAATTCTACCTTACAAATCTGGCTAGACCAGAGCGTATACACTGGTACAGATAGAGCTGGAAACACACGGAATCCAGGACAGATAAACCCCTCAGGACCAATAATGAGAGTAGTGATACAAGGAGGATAAGGAGAAAGGTGGGGGAGAAATGGGGAACTGATCACAGTGATCTACATATAACCCCCTCCCCAAGGGGATGGACAGCAGAAAAGTGGGTGAAGGGAGACATCGGACAGTGTAAGATATGACAAAATAATAACATAATTTATCAAGGGTTCATGGAGGAGAGAGGGGAAAATGAGCTGATACCAAGGGCTCAAGTAGAAAGAAAATGTTTTGAGAATGATGATGGCAACAAGTGTACAAATGTGCTTGACAAAATGGGTGGATGTATGGATTGTGATAAGCGGAGTACAAGCCCCCAATAAAATGATTTTTAAAAAGAAAAACAAAGATTTGATAGTGTGCAGATTCTAAGTGTTTAGCTTGATGTTTGTTTGTCTAGCTAGACACCATGGAAGCACTACTAACTTATCAAGATAAAGAGCATTTTTACCACTTTCAAAAAAAAAGTAAGAGCAAATGCTCAGAGAGAAACCTAGACTTTTTCCTATGTGTTACTTATGTGTCTCATGTGACCAGTGCTCACTAGTTTTGTTCTGCAACTTCTTGATACTTCTTGGACTTACAGATTTTACTATTGTAATTTTTTTTAATAATAACATTTTTTTTAAATGGAAAAGACTTTATCCGAATTCATCAGCTGTATGTTTAGCACTTATTAGGTTCCCTCAACTTGTTACAAAGCTCGCCTTTTGGGGCTCACCTTCCTTCTTTGATCCCCTGTTTCCAGGATCCTGTGTCTTCTCCCTTCCAGAGATATGCCCTCATTTTGGAGGTGCACTTCTTCCCATAGTTATGCTTGAAAATACTACTTCTCTCCCCTTTTTCACCTGTTGAGCAGTTTGGCAGAGAAGAGGATTTTAGACTTTGCAATTCTGAGAGTACTATAATTCATTTTCATTCCTAATCAAAGAACAGACCCCATCGTTGCCTGAAGAACGTCAGGACTGAGTTTCTGGTGACCTCCATTAGAAGGTCAGACTCAATGCCCTGAGAAATGAGTAGGCTCACCAGGGCACATCCAGCCCTTGGCCTTCGTACACCTTAGATGCCACTCCCTTTTTGGTTCTTAAGCCATACTTGGAGATTTTTCTCCTTTCTACTCTTACTGTTTCTGTTTTTTGGTTGTATAGACAATAATATATAGAAAAAGAAAGCAGGTCTTAAAAATGTTTGTTTTCTGTTGTGTAGTAATTGCCAATGGCTCAGAAAAATTGCTGTTCATGGGCAAATAAATTAATCAATTGAAAGCCAATCACTCTTAATCAAAGTTGGTGTTTAACAAAAAATACAACATACAAATGAAAGAAACAGGATTAGCAACAAGAGAAAAATCCACAATCCCAAACCACCAAACAAAAGCTCCGTAGCCATCTAGTCCATTCTACTGCACAGCAACAGCAACTCACAGGGCGGCGGGAACTGCCCCACAGGGTTTTCAAGGCTGTGATCATTCCAGAAGGGCTCCTAAGCACACATGAAATGGCTCAGGTGTTTTGAGAGTTTGTCTAGGTTTCTCTCCTAACCTGAGGGCCCAAAGACGCCATTTTGACTGGTGGATCTCCAGCGTCTTTCCTCTAAAGAGCAGAGGTGTGAGAGCACAGGAGCAGCCCTGCAGTTGCTGGCCCTCACTTGAGCATGCCTTTCCTGAGTCCTCCAGCACCAGGCCCGATACTGGCGCTGGAGACACAGGGCCCAGCACAGCGGGCCTGTTCTGCTGCACGGAGTCCGGGGAAAGCAGCAGGCTTTAAAATAGTTTCAGGGTATATGCCCAACTACCTTTCAGGATCTTGCTTTCAACCCTTGCAGCCTGTCCTTCTAGACCCAATCAACCAACTGTAGCTTGCAAGCCGTATGCTACTTTTTCGGTATGTACATGGGGTTCTGAAATAAAATTGAAAATGAAAATGAAACTTAGTTTCATTTATAATTTTTTCCCCTTTATTAATAATTTTACTGGGGGCTCTTACAAATCTTATAACAATCCATCATTCAATTTTATTAAGCACGCTTGTACAGAAGTTGCCATCAACATTTCCCAAATATTTTCTTTCTGCTTGACACTTTGGTATCAGCTCCCATTTTCATGAATCCTTGATCAATTATATATTATCATTATTGTTATTTCATGTCTTATACTGTCCCTTGTCTCCCTGTACCCACATTTTCCATTGTTCATTCCCCTAGGGGGACATTCATAAACATTTTAAAGAATATTATTCAGATAGTGGTGATTTCATTGGTTTGTAAATATATATCTATATCTATCTATCTATCTATGGACATCATTTTAAAGAATATTATTCAGATAGTGGTGATTTCATTGGTTTGTAAACATGTATATATATGGCCGTCACATTAGTTTAAGTTGTTGTAAGGGGCAGGATCGGCTCTTCGACCTCGTTTGCCGACCCTTTTCTAGACCATAAGCCTCTTCCTGCCTGTGAGTGGATTGTCCTTTTCTCACACTCCCTAGTGGGCTGCCGCACCACACGCTTGGAGGTCTCCTTTTGGCGCCACAGGACTGTGCTTTTTTCCTGTGGATGACCCCTTCAGGGCTCTTCTAGATCAGCTGCTGTTCCCAGTAGTGCCAATGCTCAAGTAGGGAACCAGGACACGTTCACAGGCCTGATGGGATTGCAGGCAGTAGGGGATTCTGTGTCAGGTATGCTTATGTGATAGACTGTGAGCTCGAGTTTACTATCTTTATGGAAAATCTATTTTATAATTCTGTTTATCCTTCAGATTTATATTGGTTAACTCTTGTTATTGATGAAATTTATTTTTATTTAAGCAGTTTTTATCTATAAATCTTCTAATTGCATTGAACTGCTGTTGAGTAGGGTTTTTGTGGCTCATTTAAAAACCTTTCCTAACATTTTGTATTTCTTAGAGTATCCAAGCATATAAGTGAGTTAAAGAATAGAAGCACATTTAGTCTGTAATGCTAAAGTAGTAATCTTTTTATTTTCTTAACAGATGCAGCAGCTTTTTTATGAGAATTATGAACAGAACAAAAAAGGTTACATCAGAGATCTCCATAACAGTAAAATTCACCGAGCCATCACATTACACCCCAACAAAAACCCGCCCTACCAGTACAGGCTTCACAGCTACATGCTTAGTCGCAAAATAGCTGAGCTTCGTCATCGCACGATACAGCTCCACCGAGAAATTGTCCTGATGAGCAAATATAGTAACACTGCGGTTCACAAAGAAGATCTCCAGCTGGGAATTTCTCCATCCTTTATGCGGTTCCAGCCCCGGCAGCGGGAGGAGATTTTGGAGTGGGAGTTTCTTACTGGAAAGTATTTATATTCAACGGCAGATGGTCAGCCGCCTCGGAGAGGAATGGACTCAGCCCAGAGAGAAGCCTTGGACGACATTGTCATGCAGGTCATGGAAATGATCAATGCCAATGCCAAGACCAGGGGCCGTATTATTGACTTTAAGGAGATACAATATGGCTATCGCAGAGTTAATCCCATGTACGGGGCTGAGTACATCCTGGACTTGCTGCTTCTGTACAAGAAACACAAAGGAAAGAAGATGACGGTCCCTGTGAGGCGGCACGCCTACTTACAACAGACCTTCAGTAAGATCCAGTTTGTGGAACACGAGGAGCTGGATATAAAGGAGTTGGCTGACAAAATTAACCAAGAATCTGGATCCTTATCCTTTCTCTCAAATTCCCTGAAGAAGCTTGTTCCATTTCAGCTTCCTGGGTCAAAAAATGTGCACAAGGAGCCCAAAGAGAAGAAAATAAACATATTGGTTCCCTTATCTGGACGCTTTGACATGTTTGTGAGATTCATGGGAAATTTTGAAAAGACATGTCTCATGCAAAATCAAAATGTCAAGCTTGTTGTTCTGCTTTTTAATTCTGACTCCAATCCTGACAAAGCTAAACAAGTTGAACTGATGAGAGATTACCGAGCTAAGTATCCTAAGGCTGATATGCAGATTCTGCCTGTGTCTGGAGACTTCTCACGAGCTCTAGCCCTTGAAGTGGGATCTTCTCAGTTTAATAATGAATCTTTGCTCTTCTTTTGTGATGTTGACCTTGTGTTCACTACAGAATTCCTTCAGCGATGTCGAGCAAATACAGTTCTGGGTCAACAAATATACTTTCCCATCATCTTTAGCCAGTACGATCCAAAGATTGTTTATAGTGGGAACGTTCCCAGCGGCAATCATTTTGTCTTTACTAAAAAGACCGGATTCTGGAGAAACTATGGCTTTGGCATTACTTGTATTTATAAAGGTGATCTTGTTCGAGTGGGCAGCTTTGATGTTTCCATCCAGGGCTGGGGGCTCGAAGATGTAGACCTCTTCAACAAAGTGGTGCAGGCAGGTTTGAAGACATTTAGAAGCCAAGAAGTAGGAGTAGTTCATGTCCATCATCCTGTATTTTGTGATCCCAATCTTGATCCCAAGCAGTACAAGATGTGCTTGGGTTCCAAAGCCTCAACATATGGGTCCACACAGCAGTTGGCTGAAATGTGGCTAGAAAAAAACGATCCAAGTTACAGCAAAAGTAATTACAATGGCTCAGTGAGGACAGCCTAGTGTCCAGCTCTGCTGGAAAAAGACATTTTTAATTACCTAATTTATTTTTCAGAGACATTTTGTATGACCCAGTTTTGAAGCCCATACAAGGATATATTTTACAAGTGATTTTTTTTACAAGACTTCTTTAAGATTGAGCTTTTTGAACAAAATTGTGATCAATGTTTACCTTTGAACACATCTTTTTGCTGAACATTATGGAGTAGACCTGTTTAACTATGACTTGAAATAGACCCAATGAACCAGCTTTGTCACATTTTCTTTCCAGATCCCTTTGCAACGGTCTTAGGGCAGAAAACGTGAACATCCCTGCAAAGTATTATTGTAATAAAACTTTGTGACTCTAGTAAATGTTCTGTTGTGACTGTCAACATTGCACAGATTCTATCTTGTCTTTTTTTACAAGGATTTTTACTTTTTTAAAAGACCATTTTATGTTCCAGTTGTAATATAAGGAAATAAGATAAAACTTGTATCGTCATCCTTGGAAGGGCTTTGCAAAGTTGAGTATTTTCCCCAATGCTGTGCTCCACTGTGGTCATTGCCATTTTGAAAGCAAGGGGGGTAAGGAAAGCACACCATGGTAGATGGGGTTGTAATCATAATTTGTTTGGCCTAAATGGACCTGGTTTTGAATTTCAAGAAGGAATTGTCGTTTTCCCCTCTTTATAACCCCTGTCTTTAAAGTAAAATATTAACATTTAGAATGCCAAGAAGAACTATTGTAATAAATAGAACGATGTAAGCTTATAAGCAAATGAAAGTGTTGCGGGGAAACATACCTGGTTTTGCTTAGTTCATCCTGTCTCTGTTATGTTGGTGGAGATGGCCATTCTGTAATCACTGTTTTGTTTTATCCTTCGAAAGTACCTTTAATTTATTTAATGTTCATTTTGTAGTGCTCTGCCATCTCTGGACTGCCTGTTAGTTACTAGTATTCGTGTGTATCACTGTTTAGTATGTTTGATTTTCAGTGAACTGATCTCCAAAGATTTTCTTTAGTAAATGATTTCCTTCCCCTTCTTAATTTTTATATTCTTTATTGTTTTACTAAATATTAAGTGTTCTTAGACTCTGGTGCTCACAAGTTTTGGGAGGCAAAAGTAAAATTAATCTGTCATTACTCCAGAAGTTTGTTTTAAACTCACAGATCAAATGTGCCTTACTATTTTTTCCCCCATTTAGAAGTCAAACAATGGTAGAATTGCCATTTTAATCTACATCATTGGAGATCTACTTAATTGTAAATAGTGTATTGCTCATTTGGAAAAATAAACCAGTGAACAATATTTTTCTATTGCACTTTTCTGAAACATTTGTCTCATTATTGCTATTTGGAGAGTGAAACACTTCAGCACTGATTCACTAATGTTTGTCAAGTGACTTGAGGGAAATTGTTATGTGCTCTGTTGTTTGGAAGTGGGATGAAACGAACTTTGAGTGCTTCTTCTCCTTTCCCTTCTTTTCATAGCACGAACCTGCCTTTGGTTTGTTGGCTCAAAGTGTTCCAGAGCATGGCTTTCCAGCCAGGGCCAAGGACCTTCCAGAGTACTTGATACAAACTAACTTCTTGGGCCCTTTTGAGACCCACTGGATGGGTCAGAATCTACATTTTTACCAGTGCCCCCAAGGGTGTTGGGTATACTAAGCTCTGCACCTTCTTAGCATGGTCTAGCTACTGGGTGAACTCTCTACGAGTAACTGTGTGCAGTCACTATATTATAGTTAGTATGTAATTGAGTGGTCATACAAGGTATTGAGCCTTTTGTGCAAGACAATTAAACTCCAGAAGAGGCATGTATAGTATGATGACCATTAGATTTCAGGATAATTACATTGTGTTCACAGTAAATTGTTATAATTCAGCCTGATTGCCATTTACATTGCAGAGAGTATTTCATGTTCTTTGGGAAAGAACACTTTATTTTTCAGTAAAGAAAACATCATAATGACAAATTATCTCTTAATATAAAAACCAACTCTGCCATTGTGTCAATGCTGACTCATGGTAACCCTATAGGACAGAGCAGAACTGCTCTGTGAGTTTCTGAGACTATTTTTCTGTAACTCTTTAAAGAGGAGTAGAAAGCCCTATCTTTTCCCCCACAGAGCAGCTGGTGGTTTCAAACTGCTGAACTTTTGGATCACAGCCCAATGCATAGCCTCCATGCTCCCAGGGCTCCTAACTTAAAATAACAGCAGGACTTTAGGACAAAGTGTGAGGTAATTAAGCTTAAGGGTCTGTCTAGCATCTGGATGACACTTAACTCGCCATTTCCTCTCCCCGCCCCTCGTTCTTATGGAAGTCTTCTACCTCTCCTGATAATCCTTCATTTATGGGAGCCTCCCCAGGACTCTGGCTTCACAATAACTGTCTTTAGTTCCTCTTCTGGTATTACCTCTGTGCCCAGCAGTCTCCAAGGTCCCCTCTCCAACCCATCCTCCAGTACCTCCACAAGGAAGGGCACAGGGTATTAGAGTAGATGATAGGAAGTGAATCCCTTTAGAAAAATTACACCACTAGTGACAAAAAGGTGGGGGCCAAACAGGTGCCAAATGTCCCACTTACCAAAAATACGATGCTGTTCTATCATCCCTCATACCAACTACTACGTCTCCCCTTAGTATATTCTCATGTCACACCAAAAAAAGCTCACAGCCATTGAGTTGATTCATTGCAACCCTACAGGGCAGGGTAGAACTGCCTTCATCTCAGAGTTCTGAGACGAATTCTTTATGGGTGTAAAAATCTCCATCTTTCTCCTGGGGAATAGCTGATGGTTTCGAACTGCTGGCTTTGTAGTTAGCAGCCCGACCCATAGCCACTACACCACCAGGCTCTTCTCATGTCCCAAGGTTCTGCAATTCAATTCAGTGCCTACACAGAACTTAAAGGAAATTACTAGCATAGTTGTTGGCGCTAGCAAGTCCAAATCCAAAGTTCAGCTATCTGTCTGGAGGATCCTCCTCCATAAGATTACGGAAGCTAGTGAAATCGGGGTAGGTGGTAGGTCACAACTCAAGATCCAAGAACCTAAGATTGGACAGAGAGAGGTAAGAAGATAGATGCAGGACCCAAAGGATGCTGTTTGTGGTTGGTGGAGTGGTATGTTATGTAAAAGAGTGAACTTTATATCAAGAAAATGACCCAGCCTAGTCGACAGACCACATGGTATCCGAGACCCTTCTAGACTCCTGCAGCTGGCAGTTCATGAAGCAGGAGGGCAAAGCTGGACACTGGGAGATACAGGTTGATGGGTGCAGGGAAGCATGGGTCCAAGGTCCGTAGGAACATGGCAGGACACTAACAGCTCCCAAAGTTGGCAGACCACATGACTAACCTAATCACAGATGGGGTGTGGTAAAATTGACTCCTAGAATTACTCTTAGCTCAAGGGTCTTCCTGACCCTGAAAATGCTCAGGGAGCCTCACCTCGCACCTGGCCTTCCCCAGTCTAGCATCAGCCCTAGTCCCCCACCATTCAGAGCACTTCCTACAGCTGCTTTGAGTTTGTGGATGTGACAGCCTATCTCTGGGCTTTTCGCTGTTACCTGGAATTCTCCAGTATGACTCAAATGACGAATCTCATTCACTCTGCAGGACCCAACATCCCCAGCCCTCCCAACCTGGGCAGCTTCTCTCCATGCCTCCACCACGCACACATGCTTTGTCCACTTTTAATACTGCTCTGTGCCCTTTGTGGAGGGACTGCAGTTGTAATCATGTAATCAGGTGGTCTCGCTCCTGGATTGTATTTGTGAGTCCCTTGAGGGTATGACTGGATTGCTTGTTCCTCATGTTCACCCATTCTGAGCACTTGTGTCTGTGAAGCAATTGGACCTACACTCCCCCCAGGCCGTACTTCATTCCCCATTTGTGTGCCTAATGAATGCCCTTCCACCATGTCATCTGCTGGCTGGGGCATCCCCCTCATTGTATGGGACTTGACTGTGCACCTATCATTTATGGCCTAGAAATAATGCCCCTTTCCCTTAAACTGACCCCCTAGCTGGCACAGTGCTCAGCTACGAATCAAAAGGGAGGGATCCCCGGTGGTATTGGTTACTATTCAACTGTGACCTGCAAGATTGGCAGTTCGAACCACCAGGTGCAAAAAGGGAGAAAGACGGGGCTGTCTACTGTAAACAGTCTGGGAAATTCACAGGGGGAAAGCTCTACCGTGTCCTATTGGAGCACTGTGAGTACACATTGACTTACCAGTGAATTCGTTTGAGAGGTACTTTGGAAGAAAGGTCTGATCATACGAAAAATCAGCCCTTGAGAAGTGTGGAGCACGGTTCTATTCTGACATGGGGTTGCCATGAGTTGGAATCAATTTGACCACAATTGATTTTGATTTATTATTTTCTGTCGAATTCTGGAAGTTTTTGTTATTTCCTACCTTTTTTGTTGTTTTAAACTTAATATCCTATATATTTTTAAAGTGTTTGAAGTTTAAAACATTGCCATGAAGTTTTCAATATATATAAATGGAATATATAAAACAACTACAGAGTAAATGGGAACATAGGGACATGGAAAAACCCAAACTCATGACTCATTGCCCTCCAGGCGATGCTGATTCAGGAAGCCAATGGGACAGGTAGGCCCGCCCCTGTGAGTTTCTCAGACTGTCACTCTGGCGGAGTAGAAAGCCCTCCTGTCCTTCGCCCTCGGGCCAGTGGGTGATTTCAGATAGTCCAATGCCTGATGACTATGCCACCAGCTCCTAAAGGGACATCCAAGGGCATCCCTCCAAAGAAAGGAGTCACCAACGCAAGCTATGTATTTAATTTTTTTTTTTTTAACAGAATAACCTTATCACCTTCAAAGTACTCTCCATTGCACTTAATACATTTGCCAGATCTGCGATTCCATTCTTGGAAACATTTTTCAAACTCTTCTGTTTGGATGACTGACAGCACTTCCCTGGTTTTTTTTCTTTTCTTCGCCTTTATGTTGTCAAATCCCTGTCTTTTCATGCCCTTCATTTGAGGAAACAGAAAGCCTCACGGAGTGAGGTCAGGTAAGTCAGGTACATGGGGCAAGGGAGGCATGCTGGTTTCTGCCAGAAACTGGTGCACTAAGATGGCTGCATGAATAGGTGCATTGTTGTGGCAAAACCAGCCCCTGTCTGCCACAAATCAGGTCTTTTTTTTGTTGCACACTGTTGCACAATCTTTTCAGAACCTCTAAACAGGAAGCTTGATTAACAGTCTGACCTGGTGGAACCAACTCCAAATGCACGATTCCCCTCACAATCAAAAGAACAAATGAGCATTGTCTTGATTTTTAAAAAAATCATTTTATTGAGGGCTCTTACAGCTCCTATCACAATCCATACGTATATCCATGTGTCACGCATATTTATGCATAGGTTGTCATCATTTTCAAAACATTTTCTTTCTTCTTGAGCCTTTGGTATCAGCTCATTTTTACCCTTCCCCCAACCTGATTTCATTGATGTGTTTTTTGGGGGGTGAGGTGACAGTGTCTTCCACTGGTTTGATTGGTGCTTGCTTTCTGGGCTGTAAGAGTAGCACCATGTCTCTTCACCAGTAATGACCTTGGGGGGAAAAGTCTGGGTCACTTCAGAGCTGTTCTTCAAAGCATGGCATGTTTACACTCGATGCTCTTTTTCCTGGCCAGTCAGAACCTTTCTCATTCCCTGATCTTCCGTTCAGATCCTCTGAACTGAGCTCCAAGATAGTCCAGACAACTTCCCCATCTCTTCAAGGTCTTTTGTCAGTCTTCAAGCACAAGTGCACCGATTTTGTCCACACCTTCTATGTTCTGGTGTGCAGAACAAGGTTTGTCATCAATCGACATTTCACCATTTTTGAAATGAGAAAACCACTCATACACTTGAGTTTTTTCCATAACTCTTTGTGAGCCATGTTCAACATCACAACAGTTTCTGCAGCATTTTCCCCCCGAAAAGGAAGCAGAATTTCACAGCCACGTGCTGTCCTCTGAATCAGCCATCACAAAAAAATGAGGTTCAAGCTAAACTGTTTTTACAAAAATTTCACTGTGACCAGAGAGAACCTTCCCAGAAGACCCCAGTAGGTGCACTAACTCATTGAGTTGCTCGATGCTCGTCAACTCCGAAAGCTCCACCCAGCAGAGCTTTCGTCCCCTTTGGAGGGAGTACCTCCTTGTATATGGCAGCTTTTACAAAAACACTTAAAAATAATGAGTGAGTTTGTGGTGAAAGTTTTTATCAACTAGGTTCCCCTTTGGTAATTTTCACACAAACTAGTGATACAAGTTACATTTACCATAATGTGCCAGCCTTCTT